GTCAGCTTAATTAAGGTTTAGCTGAATGATTGAATAAAGATTTGAAGGCTCACAAACGTGTCCTTACAAGTGACTCGGACGTGTCATTCCAGGCCAGAGAAATCCAGTGAAAAACATCCATCTATCCATTCACAGCGCTAACCACTGCGCCAATGTGCCACCCAAAAATAAACATTTGAAATAAAACGTATTCCTGGTTGAAAATGAAAAACGCTCAAATTATTTTTGTCATTACTCTGACTCTCAGCTAAATTATGAGTCTAAAGTATATGCTGGTTCCCTAAACTCTGCCCTGTTTAGAGAAGGCATCCGCAGGGAAAGATGTTTCAGTCACGCCGCTTCAGAATTTCACTGTTCGCAAGGTACTGTGTAGTTTCCGGCATTCAGAATAATTTTTTATTTTTCGTTAGAGGAAGAGCTGGCGACTCCACCATTGGACGGGGTCATTTTACCTGGTGTTACTCGACAGAGTATTATTGAGCTCTGCCAAAAGTGGGTAAGGAATGGTTTTCTTCACTGAACAAGTCCGAACTTCGTGACCTGGGGGGGAAAATGTCTCCTACTGGAGAACTAGCATTATGCACTGTGATGTAATCAACTTCTGCATTCACATTGCCTTCAGGAATTAAAAAAAAAAAACACATTTTAGACTGAAATATCATAAACATAGCCTTGCCTTTCACGTACAGTCTTGTGGAATGTTTTTATAAAAACGTGAGTCTCGGTTACAGTTGTATTCATTGACAGAATGAAATTTCCCCTTTTGCTGTGACACATTAAAACAAAATGTAGAACTCTGAGCATTGCATCTGTAGTTAAGGTGACAGCTAAGGACATGGAAACTCAGCGATAACATGTATTTGATAGAATCGTGGGCTGGAGTGGTGTGTTGATTCCCCATTTGTCCATATGAGTGGTGAGTGGAAGATGGACTCGCTTCCTTGACTTGGCACCAGGCAGGTACCCTGACTCTGCTGGAACCCTGCCAGATACACATATAACACAGAAGATACTAGATGCCTGTCTTTTGTTGAAGCAAAGCTTTATTAATTTGGAAGAACGCAAATTATGTACACCTCACTGTTCAAGAACAAAGACATATGACTTTTTTGTGACAGTGTGTGTCAAGTGTGTGACAGTGGGGATGCAGAAGCTTTCTGCTGCTATGCCATGAATTACCTGGATATGATCAGCATAGAATTAGAGGAGTTCTTTATTGTTGGAGATTATACAGTATATTCAGGGCTAGGTCATTGGTTGACTTCATTAGTATTTCACTGATGAGCTCTTCTGTTAAAACTTCTATGGTGGACATGAGGTGTTGTTGGATTTTTAAATGTGGTCTTTTCAGGGTATAGTGAATATGTAATATATCTAACATCTTTTGTCGAGAGATATCCCATGTATTAGAATAAGAATAACGCCATGGTTCTGGTTAAATATGACTGAATCCGTTGGTGGACCTTTTTTTCTTTAAATTATTGCAGAGCTGTTAAAAGTGTTTGTCTAGGACAATGGTGTATCATATAAGCTGTAGGTGGAAAGATATGTGCTTTTAACACTACAATCTGATGCTTTATAGCAGAGGTTGAGATACAGTGGGGGTGTATAGAAAAATTGGATCAACTACTTGCAAGATATGTTTTCTTAAGTGCTTAATGTTGCTCTTTGTGAAGGCACTAAAATCTAAAATATGAAGGAAACTGTTTTTTTCTTTTTTTCCTTATAGTATACTCCAATCATGATGTGATGCAGACGTGAGCCTTATCATGAGAGTATTTAAAAAACGTACAAGGAGTTTATGGAAAGATTGGGGATGGCAGATATGCCAAAAGTATTTTTCTGAGGAAGGAGCAGCCGTCACTGACAGAATGAAACTCCTGCCCATGTGGCTGATACATAAAGTCTAGTGAGATGAACTGTAACATCACATTTCTGGAGATATTTCAGTCTTATACACTATTTGTGTTGTGTGCAGAACAGATCAGCACCATGGATAGTACCATAAATATATTCTACCATTCAATACAAAAGTACATTACTAAATAGTAATCATTCTGTTTTCCTACAGGATATCCTACAGTGGATGCAATTCTTAATTTTCTTATATTTCAAAATGCACATATGCGCCCATTGGAAACAGAGACCATGCTAATTGGGAAATGTGCAACACCATGCTGTTGTGATCAATGCTGCACAGCATATTGAGAACGCGGTGTTGTACCTCTTTTGTCACTCTCCTTCCCAGGGCGAATTTAAAGTGTCAGAGCGTTACCTAACCATGGCAGACCTGTTGACTGCTCTGAGAGAGGAGCGAGTGAAGGAGATGTTCGGCTCTGGAACGGCCTGTGTAGTGTGCCCAGTGGGACGCATACTGTACCAGGAAGAAGTAAGACATGGATTTATCGCTGCACTGAAGATCAGAGCAAAGGGCAAAAGTCAGATTATTTGTCATAGAAATATCAAAGACGTTCCGAATTCCTGAAGATAGCCTGTTACAAATCTCATAGAGCACATCAGAAGAGGCTACAGACTCAATTAGCACGTAACATACTGCAGTGGTTCAGACAGATCTAAGTAAGATGTTATCATAGAAGCAATTGATTAGATTTAGATTTTTCTCACCTACCTCACTGAGGGATCAATACGCTGGCCGTGGGGAGCAGGTCGCCAGAATCCCTCTGGTAGGTACTTCTACCAGGGTATGGAGGGGTGTGAGGCAGTGAACATCGGGACCTGATGGATGAGAAGGGGCAAGGTTATGGCAGTTCGAGTGGGGATCTGCTTCAGAAAGCTTTGGCTGCAAAGAAACAAGTCAGGCTTATTTCCGTGCTGCAAAATAGAAAGGAGAAACGCAACATTTTGCTATTTAACCTTCTTCGGGCGTGAACTGAAGGAGTTTCAGCAGCTGAAATGTTGTGTTTCTCCTTTCTATTTTTTAAGGTTAGGGCTGCTCTCCATTTTGAACTGTCAAGAAAAACTCCTTGAAGTATGTCACTAGAATTTCGTTCATGTTGAAATGCCAGCAAAAACAAAAAAACACCATACAAGTACATTGGACTTCCTCATGCCACATTAGAGTAAAATACTCACCATAAAGATGAAAGTAATTCTCCCCATTCTTATTTCTAGAATTTGCATATCCCTACTATGGATAATGGACCAAAGTTGGCAACAAGAATACTGAAGCAGCTCACAGACATCCAAGTAAGAGTCTTGTTCAAGATTTTTTAAATTCTTTTCCAAGGTTTGAATAATTATTTCATCTAGAATTTTTTTTTTTCCGTTTAAAGGGACTCCTTCTGTGATTTATAATTATTCATGACAGTATACTCATTACATTGATGGCATTGCAAAGGTGCCGTTTACTACCTGACAATTGCATATGTATTGACAGCTGGCCTGTTGCTGCCAGTTTGCTGTCCACATCTGAAGGAGAAACAGTCCATAGAGCTGTCAATAGTAATGCAGAGTGTTAATGCAGAAAATGTGCTTTAAACTAAATTAATAAAACTGTTGAGGCATATGTGCTTCAGGATCTAAACAAAAAACTGTCAGGTCTATAAGTGCACATCTTCTTGAAGACAAGTTAAGAGTCTGATATCTGTGCTTGTTCTTTCATGCTTTCATGATAAATGAAAGTGAGGGCAGATATGCCAAACAACATACGACAAACAAAGAGCCCTAGTAATTATCATATCTTTTCTTCTAAATCACTCTGTTGTTGGGCTCTGGATTTATTGATGCAATCTCTAAGCCTCATGCTCCAGCTTTTTACCTCCTCATCAGGCTGACTTTGAAAGGTTAATGTTGTATTAATAGTTGCCATGGGATATCAGAGAAGAGATAACGGCAAACATTGCTCTTGAAAGCCGATATTAAGCACTAGATGTAATTACAAAAAGTAATTATTGTTTCAGCTTTTGTGAACTTCAAAGCAAAGATGTTTCAAATGAAGGCATCGAGAACAAAGCCGCATGAAAGGCTAATGAACAATAAAATTAGTAAATCATAGAAAAGAGTGGGATAATGTTAAATCTGTTGACATTTAATTTTTGATGGAAACAGAATTCATCCCTTCCGAAGACAAAGCGTTGTGCAAATAAATTCTGTGTCTCAGGAAAGACGGTTGATGAAGGATTGTTTTCCAAATGCGGCTTTTTGTTTTGCTTATGGTGCTTTCATGTTAATTGGAAAATTGGATTTTTGCAGACAATTATTTAGTTTTTCTTTCATTATGTAGAACTAATTTACCATATCCAGCAGAAATAATTTCCACAGAGTCTTTAATATTTGCAATGTTTATATTTCTCTATCCCTACCTTGTATCAGCAAAAATGCTGTAAGAAAAATAGTTTTTTTTCAGAGACTTAATGATCTCATTTATTTATATTTTTAGTGAAAAGCTGTTCTCACACTTGTACAGTCGCTCTAAATAGAAAACCTCAAGATTGAATTTACAGTGACTAAATTGTAGATTTAAAATCGAGGCAAGATGACTCAAAACAATAGAATTTGGAGTCTGAGTTTTGTGTTTAACAGTATTCAGCTCTGTAACCAGTATGTACTCATAGTATTTTGTGGTCCTTGGCTGCATTATGCTTCTATTTCCAGGTACACCCTTCTGTTGCTTGGGATAAAGTGTATGAAGCCCTCTAACATGTAACTCTGAGAATGTTTTTGTTCATACTTTGTTTATAAAAGTATATGTTTTCTTTTATTTTAGTATGGTAGAGTTCCGAGTGACTGGACAAACATGGTGTAGTGAAGATGGAGGAGGCTGGGCTGAGTTCTCTCACACGTGTACTGTATGCACTTCTGCTGAGCACAGTGCTGAAACATTCAGCCAAAAGCACAATGCTACATACTACACACAGTAGGGTAGTTTTGTTAACTTTAACCTGAAAATACAGTGGATTTCCTCAAAGTGATGTTACAGTAGATGTAGTTTGGTATATAATAGTTGTAACATGAAGGCCATATGCAGTTCCTCCAATTTTACCTGTTTAAGACACATGTAGAATGAGATTACCTGGTGAAACTGATTAAAAGTAGATTTAACATGAAACAAAATCAAAAACGAAATCTGAAAAGTATCATGGGTAAAAGGAATAAGTGCTGAGAATCAGTTTACATTTTTTGTAGAGTATCAGACATCTTGTGTATCATAAAAGTTTATAACAATAAGTAATAATTTTATTCTGCCAGAATTCTGTGTACTTGTTTCATCCCTGGTCTTAGGCAGTGGGGAGCCAGTTAAGTAAAGGCTCTTCTAAAGATGGATTTGAAGGAGTTTAGAGAAGGTGACTCTCTGATATCCTTGGGCAGAGAGTTTCAGAGCTTTTGGGCATAACAGGAGAAGGTTTTGTCACCCATACAATGTACAGTAGATGGGCTTGGGGGACTACCAGAATTAGAGAATACCAGAATTAGAAGAGCGAAGGTTGCGAGGTGTAGAGTAGGGTGATAAAAGCTCAGACAGGTACCAAGCCATGCAGAGTGTCACAAAGCAGTTTCTTCCGGGCCCTATGCGGACGACGCGATCCAGAATAGTGAAGATACACGAGGGAAAATGTCATGCAGGAAAGTGTCAGGATACATAGGGGCGTGTTCAAGGTGAGCTGGTGTCCTGGGGAAGTGAGTCCGGGTGAACAAACAAAGCCGAAGTCCAAACGGGGAATCCAAACGGGAGAGAAGAGTCCAAAGCCAGGAGATCCATCCAGGGGTTAAAACCATGAGCCGGGTCGGGACCAGCGGGGCAGGGGATCAGGAACAGAAAGTTAAAACCATAACGGAGCCAGATGTAGCAGGACCCCGGGTCTGGCTTTTAAGGGGGAGCGGGAATAGGGAACAGGTGCAGACAATGGGAGGGAACAAGGAAGGGCTGGAGCGCCCTTAAGAGGAGGGGTTAGCGATCGTGACACAGAGGCTTATAGGTGAGCAGGAGGATTTTGAAGTCAACACGAAACTTGACAGGAAGCCAGTGCAAGGACTCCAGGATAGGAGTAATGTGATCACTTGCACTAGAACTGGTCAGGATTCTGGCGGCCACATTTTGGACATGCTGGAGTTTGTTCAATTTGGATTTAGACACCTCAGTGAGTAGAGCAGTACAGTAGTCAATTCGGGAGAAGACAAATGTGTTGATCAGCTTTTCAGCCACAGTTAGTGATAGCGATATTTCTGAGGTGAAAGAAGATTGTTTTAACAATATGCTGCACATGTGGGTCAAATGTTAATCCTGAATTAAGTATCACCCCAAGGTTTTTCAATTTAGACTAAAGCTCAAGTACAGAACCATCCACAGACAGGGTTACAGGATTGGCTTTACAAAGTTGCTGGGGTTGCCAATAAGCATAACTTTTTGTCACAGTTAAGATGAAGGAAATTTTGAGTCACCCAGGTGTTTATGTCAGAGATGCAATTATATAGTTTTGACACAGCTACATCAGTGTCAGGTTTGGTATGGATGCATATTTTAGTATCATCAGCATAGAAATGATAGTTGAGGCCATCTGATCTTGAAAGCTGACTAAGTGGAAACATGTGAATGCTGAAGAGCAAGGGGTCCAGTATTGAGCCCTGAGGAACACCAGACTTAAGACCAAATTCTGACCTAAGTCCGCCAAGAGAGACAAAGTGACAGCGATCAGTGAGGTAAGACTTGAACCATTTGAAAGCATTGTCAGAAACTCCAAAACACAGTCTCAAGGCGAGAAAGTAAGATGTCATGTTAACAATGTCAAAACCAGCACTGAGATCAAGAAGAATAAGGATAGAGAGAGAACCAGAATCAGAAGCTATTAGAAGATCTTTAGTGACTATGACCAGGGCAATTTTGTTGCTTGAAGTTGACAGATTGAAGGGGTTCGAAAAGATTATTTACAGTGAGGTGGTTGTGTAATTGAAATGTGACAGCATGTTCTACAATTTTTGCAAGAAAGGGTCAGTTGGAGATGGGGTAAAAATTGTTTAGATTGTCCAGAGCCATGCTAGGCTTTTTTGGCACGGGGGTAATGGCAGCAGTTTTGAGGACTGTTGGTACTGTACAAGGGGTTGGTTGGTACCAGTGCTCAAGGATTCATTTATTATATTGAGGACAATGGGGCAGAGAGAAGAGAAACAGGACTGAAATAAAGTGGTGGGAATGGGATCTAAACTAGAATCAGTGGTTTTCATGTGTGAAACTAGTTTACTAAGGGATGCAGTCAAGAAGAGAGAAGTTGGAGAGAAGGGAACCAGAAAAGTTCGATAAGCAGGGAGGAAGTGTGGGAATTATACTGTATGTGTTGTGAAGAGAATGTGATGCTGGATGTTTGATCTTGGAGCTAAACAAAATCTATTGTATTCTTATATTCAGACAAGCGATCTTTCCAAGCCTGATAATATACATTTAGGCCAGAAAGATGCCCCCTACGCTCAAGTTTCTGGGAGGCTGCCTTCATAGATCACAGATGGTCAGTGTACCAGGGGGCAGGGCGAGAGAAGGAGATGGTTCGAGTTTTTAGAGGAGCAAAGGTGTCAAGGGTAGATAAAAGAGCGCTATTAAGGAAATGTATTTTGTCCTCTAGAGGGTCAGAGGAAGAGAACCAAGATAAGGAGGACAGAGCAGAATTTGCCAACCTTGAGTGATCAATTGATCGCCAGTTGCAGAAATTTACAGAGTGTGAAGGGATAGTGTTAGAAACAGGTAATTCCAGATTGAAAAGAATGGCTAAGTGGCCAAAGAGGCCTAGTTCAAGAGAAAAGCAGTGGGAAACAAAAGAGTCATTTGCGATGATTAAGTCTAGAGTGTGTCTTTTGTTATGTGTAGGGCTACGAACAAGCTGGGTTAGATCAAAGCATCCCAACAGAGCTAGAAAATCCTTAGCCAAATTGGAAGACCTTGAGTCAATGTGTACATTAAAGTCCCCAAGAATAAGGATTCTCTTCAATCTGAGGCATAACAATGAAAGTAAATCAGCAGACTCACGTAAAATGGCTTCTTTAGGTTTGGGTGGTCTATACACTGTGGCAATGATAGTAGACTGGAGGATAGAGACATTTAAAACAAGACACTCAAAAGAAGAAGGAAGAGGTACAGTAATGGGACTTAGATTGTAAAGGAGATTATAAATAACAATGATGTCCCCACCTCTGCCTGAGAGGTCAAACAACCTGTACCCAGGAGGGACTACTTGGTTAAACAGAAGACCATCTTTTTGTCTGTGGCAGGTTTCGGTTAAGCACAGAAAGTCCAGTTTTTTATCTGTAATAAAGTCACATATAAAAAGAGCCTTATTGTTCACGGAGCGGGTGTTTAGTAGCGCTGGACTGGCTAGTCTCGATGATCTGGGGGGCAGCGGAGTGGGAGGAGATTTTGGAGCTCGGTGCCGGTGCGGGATGGACTTGCAGTCTTGCGCCAAGAGGCAGGGACACAGACTCCGCAGGTAGACGAAAGAAAGAAACGGTGTCCTGTGCCGCGATCGATGTTACGCAACGGTCGTAAGATCCCAACGTTTACGGCAAAAATCAAATACGTCTTTTACCAGGAAATAATTCAGTTTCAGTTGCAGCAGTTGCAGTGAGGTGTACCTTAGAAGCATGTTCGATGAATCCTCAATGATGCAACAAGACGGGAAGGAA